TTTTTTTTTTCATTTTTAAAGAAACAGAGGACACTGTTACAATAAGGTCAATAGATTTTTTTTTTTTAATGTTGAAATTTGTGTTAAGAAAAATTTAGAAAACGAGAAAGGAAAGCAAAGCTACTTTATAAACTTATACAAAAGAATAATCCAAAGTAGTTTTCAAAAGTATGTAAATATACAGCATGCTAATGCCACTTATGGCAATAATTTTATATTTTATCACAAACAGGTTTTTTGCCATCAGTGTAAAAGGTCAGGAGTAAAGTGAAGAGCGGGAAGGGGGTGCCAGACTCCCAGGAAGAAAGCTGAGGGAGTAACACTCCTAGGAAGAAACTCACTTTTATTCACTGCCAACATCTGAGTTTGTAGTACTCTCTACAACACTGTTATCAAAGGGCTTAGAACATTTATAGTGGGTGCTAGTCTTAGCTTCATCTTATTTATCAGGGAAAAAAAAAAAGGCAAAGAAGATAATCAACTTACCCAAGTTCAGAGAGCTAGTGGATTAAACCAGTAGAGTTACCAGTACAGCTGGTAGATTAAAGTGCCACACACTATTCACAATAGCAAAGACTTGGAACCAACCCAAATGTCCATCAATGATAGACTGGATTAAGAAACTGTGGCACATATACACCATGGATTACTATGCAGCCATAAAAAAGGATGAGTTCCTGTCCTTTGCAGGGACATGGATGAAGCTGGAAACCATCACTCTGAGCAAACTATTACAAGGACAGAAAACCAAACACTGTATGTTCTCACTCATAGGTGGTAATTGAACAATGAGATCACTTGGACACAGGGCAGAGAACATCACACATTGGGGCCTGTCGGGCAGTGGGGGGCTGGGGGAGGGATAGCATCAGGAGAAATACCTAATGTAAATGATGAGTTGATGGGTGCAGCAAACTAGCATGGCACATGTATACCTACGTATCAAACCTGCACATTCTGCACATGTGCCCTAGAACTTAAAGTATAATAATAAAAATAAGGTGTCACAGAAACCCAAGCCACCAAAATCTAACTTCTGATTACAGCACAGTTACACTAAATCTTACCTTCAATTATTACCAGCTGTATGTCTAGACGATATGTTTATATCAATCATAAAATGCAAATTTGATGTCAGTCCTATGTGAATCAATCTTTATAGTCTTCCTCAACACTCTGGCATGGCATATATCCATTCAAGTACCCTGTGCCATGTATTTCCACACTTTCACACACATACTGCTCCCTTACCTAAAACATCCTTCTTCCCATTCTTTCTAGTAAGTTCTTAGGCATCCATCAAAGCCCACATAAAATATCCTCTTTTACTTCTGCCACCATTGAAGGCACTTGGTAGCTGCCTTCCCATACATATGACATTATTATGAACTATCTCTAAGTTTTTGTCTCTGCCTAAACCTACTCTAACACTTTGCTGTGTGATGCTTAAAGATAAGGTGCAATGTGCAACTGAAGCCATAACCATGAACACGAACAGTTTGTGTTGTTACTTAAAATCCATTAGAATTCCTTGAATGCAAAAGAATTTGTACCCATGCATGTTATATGGCATCATGCAATGGCCCTTTGGAAATAGTGGTTCACTAAGGTATACAGATGTAAATGTTGAAACTTATATATCAAATTCACTCCAATACATAACTTTATGAAAAAAAAGCTATCAAGCTCACGCTGGTATTACAAGTTTCTCAATTTATTATTGTTCGAAACCTTGAATTTTATCACTGGCAAAAAATATAGTCAGTCAGTTGTTTTCTTTGGTTCATTTGAAAATATTTCTGCCAGTATCTAGACCCAAATAACCAGACTTTGTCAGTGAGTCACTATTTCTAAAAGTGGGAAAAAGTTCATCTCAAAACTCAATCACACAAGTGCTTTTTTTTCCCCTTGAGACAAACCACAGTACTTCAGTATGAGAAATGCTGTCTATGCATTTCCTATTTCATCACAGAATGTTGAAGAGATATACTCAATGGTAGACAGCTAACACATGTATACTCCATCACTGACGTTTTTTTCTCAGGGACAGGGTCTTGCTATGTTGCTCAGGATAAACTTGAACTCCTGGGCTCAAGCAATGCTCCCACCTCAACATTCCGAGTAGCTACCATGTCTGGCTCCATCACAAACATTCTTAAATACATTTGCATGTTACTGCTGTGAATAATGCAATGACTGCTGCTACTCTTGTGGCACTATCTTGATTCCTGCCAAGGAGACAACAGTATTATCCACCATTACCTTTGTGCCATTGGTGCAAAAATAACATTTTATTATCACAAATAGTTTTGACCCTCAAAGTCCCTGACCCAAGGTAAAAACTATTTGCCCTAGTTATTTTAGGAAAACAAAACAAGGCAGAAGGAAAAAAAAAAGTCATTCCTAACTTTGTTGTTCAAAGATACTTAAAAATTATGTTTATTTCCGAATGCATTAGACAGTATGAAATGGAATCATTCTACACTGTTATTTGCCCACTTCATAACAAATTCAACAAATCAATACCAAGGTATTATAGTATATGGATAGTTTATATTTACCTAGTCTTCTCTATTGCTGGGTATGTTGTTGCCAATTTTTCATTTGATAAACAATCTGTAAAAAAACACACATATTTCTGTACCTGTCCAAAATCCCTTTGATGAATATCTGTAAGTGGAATTGCTAACTTAAGGGTATAAATGTGTACTTCACAGGGTGCCTGGCAATGTCATCTGTCAAGAAATCTTAGAAAACGGTAGTTTAAACATTTTTCACACTGCTTTCTACAAAGGTTTTACCAATTAACACATCAGTAAGGGTTCTTATACCCTAGTCACCATTGATTATTACTATTCTTTAACCTTTAAAAATCTTTGCTGGCTTAATTTTCATTTCTTTAGTTACTATTAAATCTTGCAGAGACACTTCTTTCTCTGGGCATAAAAATTTGTTGCTCAAAGGTCTGCCTTGAAAGACCTTACTCCATCTGCCATAAAAATAGATTTTAAAATATATAAAGAAATTAAGTGTTCTGATTAGCTGATTTAAGGAGGTGGTACCCAAAAAACTAAAACCGTTATACTTGAAAAGTACTAAAATAGTTATATCTCAAGTAATTTTTTTACTCCTGTGTTCGAGACAAATTATTGAAGGCAGTTCCTCAAGTAGTCACTTGCTGATCTCCACCTAAATTATAAATATTATTACCCATGTTTTTTTTTCTTTGTCTGGGTTCTCCAATTAGCTATAAAAAAAAGATACCAGAAGAGTCTAGGGTTATGTTAGATGACCACTATTATATTATCTTTCTTTTAAAAAAAGATTTCTGTTAAGACAAACGTGACTAGTAATACAAATGAAAAGGTAGGTTTTTTTTTTTTTTTTTAAAAAGATAGTCTCACTATGTTGGCCAGCCTGAAAAAATTAGGTGTTTTTAGGTGCCAAAGTATTGTGGAATGAATATTTATGGAGCATTTACTATGGGGTAGATACTGTGCACAAAACAAAGCCTCTGCCCTCATGGAGCTTACATCCTAGTGCAAGAGACAGACAGTAAGCAACAGTTTCTAATAAAGATGGCACCAATTTAAATTGAACAATAAATCCAAAGAGTTTAAAAGAACTTATAAATTACAAATACCAAGCAAGGTTTTATAGGAAACTGAGAGGTATTAGAAAACAAAGAACATTTTTGGACATCTACAATGTAGTTGCCCCGTAGATACACCAGTATGTATGTAGCACAGTCTAGTGGTTGTATTAGGTTGATTTAGTTTGAATTTGCTTTACTGCAAATTTATATTATCAAATCACAGGGAACAAAAGCCCTTTAAAGAGATAGTACTAAAAGAGGTCAAATGAAACATAATCTACTTGTATTTGAAGTGATAAAGTTTCCTTTCTTCATTACAATGCAAACTACACAGCTGCTGACAAATGAAATTGTTTCACGTCACGTCTGTGGCTGACATAGCATAGACTGGATCACTCAGCTCTATTCCAATCCCTTCCTCATGAAAGTTTGCTGCATTTCCCATACTACTCTTTAGCCCAGGCTCCACATGGGACCTAGCTTCTTCCAAACAGCTGCAATAGTTTGAAGTCTCAGAGGCAGAAGAGATAACAGCTGGAGGCTGTGCTTCCACGGTCTCCATCAGTGAGCACAGCTGTAGAGACATCTGATAGTTCGGCAGCAGCTGTAGCTGAGATCCCAGCACCTGGTGCTTAGCTCTATGGGGGCTGAGAGGCAATGGGTAAGGCATCCATTTACCTGGTACAGGTTATACCCAAGATAATATGGTCCTAGAGCCACCCATTGTGGCAGCAGTTCTTGATATCCCAGCTTCCTGATGGTGGTTGTGGCAGAGACATAAAATCCACTGTGAGCCACACAACTGTCATTCCTGGAAGCTCAGCCTGTCCCCTCAGCCATCCCAAGGATTTTATGAGCATCTTTTTACTTCTAAACCTTTCTGTTTGAACTATACACAAGTAATGAACTCTTAACAAGTGTTTAAAAGTCAATGTCTAAAAAATCTTTTGATTTTGCCATGGAACATCTGAGGTCGAGTATTAAGCAAAATAGTTACATAAAACGTGTATTTTTTCGTGAAGAGTGACAAAATAACAGTATAGATAAGACTTCCTTCAAAAGTCATGGAAATTATCTTTAGAAATCTACAGTTATAGGCTTGCCTCAAACCTGCTTTGTTTTGTTTTTTGGAGATGGAGTCTCACTCTGTCACTCAGGCTGGAGTGCAGTGGCACAATCTCGGCTCACTGCGACCTCCACCTCCTGTGTTCAAGCGATTCTCCTACCTCAGCCTCCTGAGTAGCTGGGATTACAGGCGTGTGCCACCATGCCCCTGGCTAATTGTTTATTTTTAGTAGAGATGGGGTTTCTCCATGTTGGCCAGGCTGGGCTCGAAGTCCAGACCTTAGCAATGCGCCCACCTTGGTCTCCCAAAGTGCTGGAATTACAGGTGTGAGTCACTGTGCCCAGCCCCGCAAACCCGCTTTGTAATGGACTAATATAGTATAAAAATTGTAAACTTACATAAACATCAGAGAATTTGAGATAAAATATTCTTACTTGACTGTTGCAAATACGTTATCTCCATTTGGAACAATTATACAATTTTTCTTTGCTTCATTTATACCAACATATACAAGAAGTTCATCAGGAGAATCCCTGTTTAAGCAAAAGACATTAAAAATTTAGCTGCCCATAATTTATATTATCAGTGGGATTTTAGGTCTACAGACAATTTACCCCTATTTTTTCCCTCTTTTTAAAGGCCTCTTTTATAAGGGCATTTTTTAAAATTGAAACAAATTTATCGTTTTAAGCTCCAAGTTTCTTAGGAACATCTATGATAAATCTTGACTACATTAAACCTTTCTGTTTGAATTATACACAAGTAATGAACTCTTAACAAGTGTTTAAAATCAGATGTATCATTTATATGATAAATACTTGGCTACAGTATAATTCAATTCCTAGCACCATGTGCATTCTACTGTACTACAGTACTTCTTCCTGGACACGTTTCTTCTATTACCTTACATTTAATCTTCACTTTAAAGGATAGCATCTCTACTGGTACAAGCGGACAAGTGGAGTTTCTCTATTTCTTAACCTTCTAGGTATCTTGTATGCATTCATTTAATTCTCATAATATTCCTATCACATAGGTACAATTATCCCTATTATTACAAGACAGGAAACTGAGTCACAGAAAGTCACAGTCACTAATGACACAGGATCACACAGATAATAAACAAGAGGACCAGTGTGACTCCAGAGATCACTCTTAGTTCCCAGTTGCCACTCTGGCACCAGGAAGCACATAGCTTATTAAGCACAAGTCACAACAGCTGCTCTAAATTATCTTGGGCCAAAAGAGTTCTTCTGAACCCAAAAGAGAAAAAAAAGTTTACAAGGAAAGGAAGAACCAGTGAGATTAAACCTAAAGAGTTCACCCATCCTAGGGAAGGTTAAAATGGTAACAGCAAGAACAACAGATGGCTCATATATCCACCAATAGGGGAAAATGTGCCTTTCACCTTGGGTGAGGCTAATGAATAACTGTTTATCCTCATTAGCAGGACAGCAGCTGTATTTTAGAGGCAAAGAAAAGATCCTTTACCTGAAATACCCAATGTGGTACTGAGTTTATCTCCAATAATAATGGTTTGGAACTCAGGAGGATCATAGTAAAACCTCCAATGAAGGTTAAAATTCGGGCCTGTTGATTTTTTCTTCATTTTATGTTTTCCAGCAAGGATATCATAAGGACCAACTAACTGAAGTCAAAGGCTTACAGAAAGTGGATCTATAAAGCAAATAAATTTAGACAATACTTTCTGCAGACAGATAGGAAATAATGCTTTTAGTGAGTAAACTATTTCTAAGCAATTGTCTTCAAAAAGTTTCTAAAGTAAAAGAAAATCTTGAGTTATGTGTGAAGATGTCAGTTACAAACATTCAATGGAAAAGAAGTCAGAGTAACAGAAAAGTGGCATTTACATTTAGGATTTCCTCTGAAATTTACCACTGTATTAACTTAACATCTCAAACAATCCTGTTGTTTCTTATTTTAGCCAAAGCAAGACTGGTTTGTATTCCTACAGGCCCATTACCGCACTGCAATTAGCCTCAACTACTTGTAGTACACACAGATTAAGGGAGAGAAAGATAGCAAAAATGTGTGGATTAAGAATAGTAAAAAACAGGCCAGGCATGGTGGCTCATACCTGTAATCCCAGCACTTTGGGAGCGTGAGGCAGGCTGATCACCTGAGGTCAGGAGTTTCAGACCAGCCTGGTCAACATGGCAAAACCCCGTCTCCACTAAAAATACAAAAATTAGCCAGGTGTGGTGGCTTATGCCTGTAATCCCAGCTACTTGGGAGGCTGAGGTACAAGATTCATTTGAACCCAGGAGGCAGAAGTTGCAGTGAAATGAGATCATGCCATTGCACTCCAGCCTGGGTGACAGGGCGAGACTTTGTCTCCAGAAAAAAAAAAAAAGTAAAAAACATTTCTTATCCCTCTTTCCTCTACCTCAGCTAGCACACCAGATTCCCTTGACTCTTTGACAATCTATTTGGCCAACCCTAACCCTAGATGATTCCATCTCCCTTCTCTATTCACAGATCACAGTCAGTACTACTAAACCACAAAGACATGAAGTCTGTGCAATGTACAATGTACTTCAAATGGGTCCTTGCTGCTTCTAAGAGGGAGGGGAGAACACCAGGCAGGACCCTTTATAAGGAGGCAAGGATGAAGAAAGCAAAAAAATTCCTGTAAGAGGTAATAACGTGAATAGAAGCATGGAGATAATTGGACAGGAAAAATTGTTCAGCTCAAGTGGAGCTTAGGAGAGCATATACTAATTTTTAAAGCAACAAGAAAACTAAAACCATCCATCTCATTAGTCAAAGATAACACAGTTAATAGTCTAGTATACAGTAACAAATTTCCATACTCTCCACACCCATGAACAGATACAAATATGTAACAAACTGAGATGGATTGTTTTGTAATCTGCTTTTGTCCTCCATCCTGACCCACTTAAATTTTCCGAATATTTTCCATGCTATTCAATGTTATTTTACATGATTTTTAATAGGGCATGATACTGCATTATAAAGAGGTAACCATCTATTCTTTTACTGATGGACATTTACTATTTCTTTTTTCTGTTCTAAAAATGTTTCAGGGAACATCTTTGCTAATGTTTGTACACAGACATGACTTTTCAAAGAAACTGCTACACAGTTCTGATCTATTGGCAAAATTCAGAATATGTATAAATATACATTTCCACCAATAATGTATGACAGTGCTTACTAGTTAAAAAATTAAAACAGTGCAAAAGGTATATAGTGCAAAGTAATGATCATAGCCCATTAAGAGTTTCTTTCTCCTTTCAGAGACAAAGAAAGCACATAGAAAAGTATATAGGGATATGTGTATACTCCCCCTCCCCCTTTAAAAAAGTACTTATGGTAGCATACTCTATACACTGTTCTTTTTCACTTAACATATTTCAGGCATGATAGTTTATTATTTCCTAAAAATCTGTCTCATTCTTTTAAAACAATTAAGATCTACTGAATATATGTATTATTGGTAGGCATTTAAGCCATTTCCCATTTTTTTGTTTAAATATCCTCAAACATAATTCTTAGTTTATCTAATCCATAAGACAAGTTCTTGGAAGCAGAACTGTTAAATCATATTCAAAGTCCTGCAACATATGAAAGTGCTTACTTTCCTTCACATTCCCCCAGAACGTGATGAAATTATTTACCTTTGCCAATAAAATAGGTGACAGTGGCATTATTATAGCATTAATCTATATTTCTTACTATATTTTCTCTTACTAGAAACATCTTGGAAAATATTCCTTTTCTATGAGCTGTTAATATTCTTGGTTAGGTTTTTTTTAAAAATTATTTTATATATATATATATATATATTTTTTGAGACAGGGTCTAGCTCTGTTGCCTGGGCTGGAGTGCAGTGGCACAATCTCGGCTCACTGCAGCCTTCACCTCCCAGGTTCAAGTGATGATTGTGCCTCACCCTCCCGAGTAGCTGGGACTACAGGCATGCGCCACCACACCCAGCTAAATTTTGTATGTTTAGTAGAGACAGGGTTTCACCGTGTTGCCCAGGCTGGTCTCGAACTCCTGACTTCAAGTGATCTGCCTGCCTTAGCCTCCTAAAGTGTTGGGATTACAGGTGTGAGCCACCATGCCTGGCCAATTATATTTTTTAGAGACAGGGTCTTGCTCTGTCACTGAGGCTGATGTGATCATAGCTCATTGCAACTTCGAACTACTAGGCTCAATGAAGGATCCCCCCACCTCAGTCTCCCAAGTAGCTAGGACTATAGGCACATGCAACCATGCCTAGTTTTTTATTTTATTTTATTTATTTTTATTTTTTTGTAGAGAAGAGGTATTGCTGTGTTGACCAGGTTGGTCTCAAACTTCTGGTCTCAGGCAATCCTCCTGCCTCAACTGGGATTACAGAGTGTGAGCCACCACACCCATCCCATTTCCTATTACATTACTTTTTCCATTTATACAAGAATGATTCTGGAGCAACTCACCAGCTGGTTTTTCAGAATCAAGTTCTTCACAGAACTTCCAGAAGTGAAAGAAATCTTCAGGTAAAGAGAGCTTATAATGATTTTCTACTTCTTTTCGAAGGTCATCGGAGACATCAGCTTCACAGAATTTACTTTTCTTCACATCCAACTGTTTTTTCACACTGAAAATTGGCACACAAAACTTCCGTTCTCCAAATTGTCTTTAGTAATTTCAGTAACTCTTCTGGCGCCACAGCAGATTCTCAACCACTTCATTATGTTGCTTCTCCAACTGCAAATATAGAACAGTAGGAACATATGAAGTCCTGAGCTATCCTATCTTCCGTTTTTATAACTGTCTTTGGTCAGACTTTCAAAGACTGGCTTCAACTGAAGATGTCAGAAAAGGCTTAATCTGCCTTGCTAAAAGGCAGTTTTGCTTAATGGTTAGGTTGCCTGGGTTGACTCCTGACCCTACGTATTTCCAGCTGATTTCCAACCTTAGGCAAGTTACTTAAACTCTCTGTGCCTTGTTTTCTCATCTGCAAAAAGGGCATACAGTACCTCTATCATAGGATTGTTACAAGGAATAAGTTATTATATGTAAAAATACACAGAACAGTCCTGGCACATAATATGCAAATGCTGGCCATTATGGTTATAGTCTCTATAGACTTGCCTTCATTTCTGGTATTGTATTTCTAGTTAAGCACCTCAGGTCACCAAAGTAGTTCTTCACTAAACCTTCAGAGAGAAATTTTCAGCTCTCCCTTAACTCACACACTAGTTCAGCATCTCCATATCCCTAACAACTAGAATTTAGGAGAGCTGTCCCCTTCAGAGGCTGCATTTCTCCTTTACCCTGGTATTCCTAGAATGCATGGCCCAATATGAAGAATGCCTATACACATGGCCCTTTACTAGTTCATTAAGCCCTCCAAGAATGTCTCACTGTGTCCGATTTATAACACTGCCAGACTAAGTTTTCTAAAACTTTAGTTACCACAATGGCAGTTCTTTCCTGATTCCCCTTATTGCTACTGTAGTGGTTACATAACTTCCGAAATCGTAGTAAAGTATGAGATAATGCACATACTTTTTCCCCTTCCCCTCTCATAGTGTTTTTATGATCAGGTCCCTCTTGCTTTCTCATTTCCCTGGCTCCGACCAAGCCGAACGCTCCGCTATGCTGAAACATCTCCTACACTTTTACGTCTCAGACTCTTACTTCTCTGCCTTCAAAACCCATTTTCAAAGAGTTGTCTTAAAACTCTTCTTTAACACCCCCTGGGACTTGTTAAATCCTCCTTCAGTGTTTCCACGGCACTTTCTACACACCAGCGTTATAATCCCAAACAAAAAAGTCACAGTAGAATGCATATTCGCTTGTGCTCCTCCTCCCCAGGCCGGAGACTCTACACTGAGCAGGGACAGGCGGGTTGACCCCAAATCCGCAGCGCCCCGCACAATGTCTGGTATGTAATCGGTTCCCAATCTATCTGGCTGGGCGAATGAATGAAACGTGGGTTGGCTTAATCAGTTTCCCCAGGAAATGCACCAAGAGGAGCTGGGCAGAAAATGCAGAGGCGCCACTTTCCTGGTCCAACCCCCTACAGAGCGCTAAACAGCAACCCTGGGCAGGGTCCCCGCAGCAAACCGCAGCCTCCGGACACACAGCAAGCTTAACAGTCACTAAATGAATGAAATGCGGTGCCTCCTGGTACCCTGGCTGTCACCCAAAGTGACCCGCGTTGCCCGCACACCCTTTCTGGCAGTATCTGCGACCCCGCCCCCGCGCCGGGCCTGCGCATCCTGCCGCCGCCCACCATTCTGCAGCGGTGGCGCCAGCAGAATTCCCCGATCCGCGGCCGCTTTCGAGAGCTGCCAACTGTTTCCGGGTTCCAAAGCCTCCAATCCGAATCCCAGCGCCGCTCGGGCGCGCCAATTTAGGGAAAAGGCTCCGCCCATGCCCCGCCCCCTGAGGCCTGGCGCCGGGCGCTTTGAGGCCCTGCCTACTACCCTGCTGGGCAGGGAAAGGGGCGTCTTCTGTCCTTGTGGTCCGCATCTAGGCTTTCTAGAGCATCTTCCAGGGTCAATCCAGAGACGCCCCCCAGACTACTGAATCTGAATCCGTTAGGGTGGTCCAACCTTCCTCTTCAGGTGTCTACTCGAGGCAAGGTTGGATGTATGCGGCTGCCCTCAATACAGCCCCTTCCTTGTTTTTTCTTCATTTATGTTTACGTGAAATATTAATCCTTTTCTCCTTGTCCTCCATCCCTCTCCCTCCCCTACTATACGGTTATTGACTTACACTAATTCATTCCCGATTATCTCCGAGATGGAAATAAATGTCTGTCTCTGTCTCTGTACCGTCGTCGTCTTGGTACAATTTGGACTGTTTTTTCTCTACACCCCTGATATGCAGAGTGTAGTCTCTGAACCAGCAGCCCCAGCATCCTGAGGGAATTTGTTAAAAACGCCAAATTTTAGGCTGTACCCAGACTTTCTGAATCAGTATCTGTATTGCAACAAGATCCCCCTGGTAATTCCTATGCACATCAAAATTTGGAAGGCACAGCTCTCAACTGATGTCCTTGGGTCTCCTTCACATCCATCCTGGGAAGGTCTTATTCCTCATTCCTGGAGGTGAGTTTCCTATTTCCTGAATGTGTGTCTTTTTCTTGATTACATACCCTCATGTTGTGGAACGTATCCGCCAATAGTTCCTTGAGGGAGGTTGCTTCCAGGTGTTTTTTCCCACAGAGCGTGCATGTCTGGAACTGTTTTTATTCTGGCTGAGCACAGAGTTCTAGGTTGAAAATAACTTTCACTCGGAATATTGGAGGACTTGCTCCACAATATTTTAGCTTCCAGAATTGTTGAGAAACTCTACGTCACTGCTTTTCCTTCTCCTTCACAGGTCACTAAATTTCTTGATATGTAACCTGCTTTGGTTTCTGTTTTGTTTTGTCTCAAGAAGCTTTAGGATCTTCTCTTTATTCCCAGTTTTCTAAGACACAATCGAGTGTCTTGCTTCTGGGTCTTTTTGCATTCCTATTGATCAGTTTTTCAATCCTGAAACACATTCTCTTCAGTTATGGGGATTCTCCTGATATTATTTATTTGATCATTTCTTCCTGCCCTCTCTTATTGTATCTCTTATTTTTTGAAATTTGTTATTTAGATTGTAGACCTTCTTGGCTGATGTTTTTTCTTACCTGTCTGTCCTATTTTCTATCTCTTCATCTTTTCATTCTACTTTCTCTGTGACTTTTTCAACTTAATTGGACAAATGACTATCAGATTACTTTATTTCGTTTATTATACCTTCATTTCTAAGTGCGCTTTTTATTCTTTGTTCTTTTATAGCATTACATTATTTTTCATGAATATAGCTCCTATCTCTGAAGATGTAAATTATAGGGCTTTTAAAATGCTTTCTACATAACTCTGCATTGACTTTGATTCTTTTGAGTGTTTTTTTTTTTTTTTGGTTGGTTGTTTATATTTGGTCCCTGTCGTTTGTGCTAGAGACATTCTTCATCTTGTGTAGTGATCCCTGCTGTCAATTTATATGTAAAAGTGATGCTCTAAAAAGGTGTTTTGGGGACATAGGCAAGGCTTGTTCACTGCTGAACAAGATGTAAGATGATGGGGCAAAGACCAGCTATTTATTTTCTTCTAGAGAGTAATTTTCTATTTACTTGCTTTGAGAATATACAGCCTTCTTGGCACGGGAAGGAGGCTGGGAGTCTTAGTAATTTCATTATATGCACTGATGCACGGTATTAGTTGGGGGTTTTCTGGAGAAACAGAATGAATAGATATCTATATCTGTGCCTATATCTATCTGTTAGCTCATGTGATTATGGGGGTTGAGAAGCCCCGCAATCTGCTGTCTGTAAGCTGAAGACCCAGAAAGCCCATGTTGTAGTTTGAAGCCCTGATAACTAGAGAGCCGATGGTGTAGATTCCAGTCCAAGTTTGAAGTCCTGCAAACCAGGATCACCAAGGGTGGTAAAAGATCAAAGATTCAGTTGAAGAAGTCTAGAAGAGAGAAAGTGAATCCTCCCTTCCTCTACCTTTTTGTTTTATTCAGACCCCGAATGAATAAGATGATGCCCACCCACATAGGTGAGGTTAATCTATTTTACTCAGTTCCCTCATAGACACTCAGAAATACTGTTTAACCAGATACATGAGCATCCTATGGTCCAGTCAAGTTGACGCATAAAATTAACTCTCCACCAGGCGTGGTGACTCATGCCTGTAATCCCAGCACTTTGGGAAGCCAAGGAGGATGGATCACTTGAGGTCAGGAGTTCGAGACCAGCCTGGCCAACATGGTGAAACACAGTCTCTACTTAAAATACAAAAATTAGCCAGGTGTGGTGGCATGGGCCTGTAGTCCCAGCTACTCAGGAGGCTGAGGTACAAGAATCACTTGAACCCAGGTGGCGGAGGTTGCAGTGAGCTGAGATTGCACTACTGCACTCCAGCCTGGGTGACAGAGTGAGATTCTGTCTCCAAAAAAAAAAAAAAAAAAAAAAGAGAAGATTTAATTATCATGCATACCTTCACTTACACCACTGTTTCGTAATAGCATTTTTACCTTCAGCTGTGTCTGGTGTCCCTGAATCCATATCCTGGTTCCATATCTCCCAAAAGAAATAATCTTGCAGGTTTCAGGTTGGGAATGAGGGATAGAGAACATTTCCCTGGCTTTGCCAGGGGAGGAAATCCAGGAGTCTTAACTGCTTCTGGGACTTTTAATGGTCTCTTTTCAGCTCATCCCACCGAAGAGGTATGGTACTTCCAGTTCCTGAGCCTTTGCGAGGTTCTGCGTGTCAGTGAGCTTGCTTCCAGGCATCACTTCTGAAAACACCTGGGTTTCAGTTTTCTCTGGTAAGTCCATATGTTCACCAGTATATTAGCTCCCTAAAGCTGCCATACAATTACCACAAACTGGGTGGCTTAAAACTATGGAAATTTATTCCCTCACAGTTATGGAGGCTACAAATCAGAAATCAAGGTGTCAGGAGGTTGGTTCCTTCTGGGGACTCTGAGGGACAATCTGTGCCATGCCTTTGCCTTAGCTTCTGGTGACTGCTGGCAATTCTTGGCATTCTTTGGCTTGCAGATGAATCACTCCAATCTCTGCCTCTGCCATTACGTGTTTTCCCTGTGCATCTGCCTGTGTCTAACTTTCTCTCTTTTTGTAAGGACAGCAGTCATTAGATTAGGGCCCAGGCTAATCCAGTATCACTTTTAGATTTTTGTTTTGTTTTGTTTTGTTTTGTTTTGAGATGGAGTCTCGCTCTGTCGCTCAGGCTAGAGTGCAGCGGTGCCATCTCAGCTCACTGCAACCTCTGCCTCCCAGGTTCAAGTGATTCTCCTGCCTCAGCCTCCCCAGTAGCTGGGCTGCAGGTGGGCACCAACACGCTCAGCTAATTTTTGTATTTTTAGTAGAGAGAGGGTTTCACCATGTTGGTCAGGCTGGTCTTGAACTCCTGACCTCAAGCGATCCACTCGCTTTGGCCTCCCGTAGTGCTGGGATTACAGGCGTGAGCCACTATACCTGGCTGTCACTTTATCTTATTTTGATCACATCCGCACAGACCCTATTTCCAAATAAGGCCACAGTCAATGTATCCTCTGGGGGTGGGGGCGGGGGCATGCAACTCAACCCCGGTCAACTGATTTCTAAACTTTTGTGGCATTTTTCTGTTGTCTCTTCTCCTGTTTTCTTTGTTCTTATGAGTATATGGTCCCTCTGTCCCCCTTTTTAACATTCTTTGTTTTAGTGAGGCTTCTTAAGGAGTGGAGGCAAGTGGATGCTTTCAAGGTATGTTAACTGGAGTGTTTATTATTGCTATTTTTCAGTTGGATAGCACCAGGTTTGCAATGGTAATCTGTAAAACTCCTTTTATTATACACAATTCCAAGTTCAGAACTAAAACTTTGCACTGAATAATACTTTCATAACCATCTTTTGTAGAATGTGAATGAAATTTTTTATTCAAATATTTGACATTTAATGTCTTTTATCCTGTTCATATGTTTGCTCCACAGTGATTTTGAAGGAATGGGTAGAGTTGACCAAATTTGGTATACTTCTTCAGGTTATCAGTGTCTGTCATTTTGAAACAAAGTTAATGTTAATAAATGTTTTATATCCAGTACTTACTATGCAATAGTAGTATTCTTTTTTAATATTTGTTTTTAATTTACAGATAATTGTGTATACTTACAGAATACGATGTAATGTTTTGATCTATGGATACACTGTGGAATGATCATATCAAACTAATTTACGTATTAATTACATCAAATACCTATTATTTTTTGGAGTGAGAACATTTCAAATCTACTCTTCTAACAGTGTTGAAATATGTAATACATTATTATTAACTATGGACACTATGTGGTGCAATAGATCTCAAAAACTTATTCCTTCTGTGTAACTAAAACTTTGTACCCTTTGATCAATATCTCTGCAGTACCCACTTCCAACCTCCAGCCTCTGGTAACCAGCATTCTACTCTCTACTTCTGTAAGTTCAACTTTTTAGATTCCGCATGTAAGTGAGATTATGCAATATTTGTCTCTCTGTGACTGGCTTATTTCAGCTAGCATAAAGTTCTCTAGTTTCATCTACGTTGTCAAAAATGACAGAATTTCCTTTTTTAAGGCTGAATAGTATTCCATTGTATGTGTACCACATTATCCATTTATCTGTTGATGGACACTTAGGTTGGCTATTATGAATAATGCTGCAATGAACATGGATGCCCAGATATCTCTTTAACATGTTGATTGCAATTCCTTTGTATACATACTCAGGAGTGCAATTGCTGGATCATATAGTAGTTCTATTTTCAGTTTTTTGAGGAACCTCCATACTGTTTTTCATAACTTCTGTGTTAATTTACACTCCCACCAACAGTGTACAAGGGTTCCCTTTTTCTTACATTCTCACCAACCCTTGTTATCTTTGATAATGTCTATTGCTGTTGTAACAGGTGTCAGATACTATCTCATTGTGGTTTTAATTTGCATTTCTCTGATACCTGGGGATGTTGAGCATTTTTGAATAAACCACAATAGTAGTATTAAGTGCTTTGCTAAGACTAACTCATTTAAGCATCATAAGAGTCCTGTGAGGTAATTTCTATTTCTACTTCATTTTACAGATAAGGCAGCTAACATTCAAAGAGTTTAAGTGAATTGTCACACAGCAAGCATTGGAGGTGAGATTCAAACCTGAATAGTCTATCATTTCAGAGTGCTTTCAACACTATGCAATACTGTCGCTCTAGCAATCAGTCAGATTGAATAAGGTCTGTAGTTCACAGAGCCACTTGCATTTTTAATCCAGTTTAATTAACTTAGGAAATTTGTATCTAAATGACGCATTTTTTAAAAATAGAGACAGGGTCTCACTGTGTTGCCCAGGCTGGTCTCAAACTCCTGGGCTCAAGCCATCCTCCCACTCAGCCTCCCAAAGTGCTGAGATTGCAGGTGTGAGCCATCACGTCCTGCCAGGCTACATAGGTTTTACTGTATCCTCTGAACTTCCCTTTAATCAAGAGAGTAGACAAAACTGTGGGTCCCTCATTTTCAAAATGGCCAGTAAAAGAAGAAATAAGGATATGTAATGTTTAATTATTTTCTGCTGCCCTCTTTAAGTTGATTGGGGACCTCTTTGTCACTACTTTGGGAAGATAACTTATCTTCTTATCCACAAGGGCTAATTGGAGCTTTTCTCATGTCTTTATGGTTGCTGGGAAAGTTTCAAATCAAATTCATTGACAGTGGTTTGAAATTGCAGAATTTTTAGCCTTCCTATGTTTTATTTTCCTCTAGTGAGTTGGACATAAATAATATCCTCTTCTGAGATTTGTATCTTTGAAAGACATTTTTTGTTTTTTAAGTTTCTCAGTGAAACAAAGACAAAATTAGAAGGTAGCTGGGTGCAGTGGTTCATGCCTATAGTCCCAGCACTTTGGGAGGCTGAGGCAGGTGGATTGCCTGAGCTTAGGAGTTGGAGACCAGCTTGGGCAACATGGCAACACCCTGTCTCTACTAAAAATACAAAAATTATCTGGGCTTGGTAGCACATGCCTGTGGTCCTAGCTACTCAGGAGGCCTAGATGGGAGGATTGCTTGAGCCCAGGAGGCAAAGGTTGCAGTGAGCCAAGATTGTGCCACTGCATTCCAGCCTGGGTGACAGAGTGAGACCCTGTCTCAAAAGAAAGAAAGAAAAAACTAGAGGGATATCAGTTTTATTAGAAAAAAAAATTTTTTTTAAATTGCCAGTCTCCCTGAAATTAAGCCATAATATGTCCATAGCTTTGTATGAGATTGCTGGCTTTGCTTGGGGAGAAAATTACATTTGTTTGTGTTATTTTTCCTTTTTTGTGAAATCTGTGGTGACACAATTGCCATCAATATACTCTTAAATCTATGTCTTCATTGAGGATGATGCTAGTGAGCTTATGTGGAAAAATTATCTGCATGGAAGCAGAATTGATTGGTGATTGCCAGCACCTTTGCTTTTCTCTTAATAATTGTAATATGATACTTTAAAATATGTGTTTTTATAGAAATCCATGTCAAACAAGATACATAGAATGTGATTCTGTAGAATACTGATAAATGAGAATTCAGATGTGGGCTACCAGAACTTTAGAGTGACAAGTAAAATAAGTGAAATGTAAGGATGGCATGGTTCGAGGTTCTGTAAATAAAATGCTCAAAAGAAAAGGATCCTAATCAAATACGGGTTTAGAAAACACACAACAATAGTAACTATGAAATGTATATGTTTTAGATCTAAAAGTTACTGGGTTTGCTATGCAGGCAGTAGTCCTTGGTGAAACATGGATTGATAAAAGACAGAAAATGGAAGCAAGAATTCCTATGTATTCTTCAGGAGTGTCTAATTCTAGCATTTATCTAAATTTAAGCTCTGGATCAAAGAGAATATTTTTAGACTGGGTGCAGTAGCTCATACCTGTAATTTCAGCACTTTGGGAGGCCAAGGAAGGTGGATTACCTGAGGTCAGGAGTTCAAGACCAGTCTGGCCAACATGGTGAAATTCCATCTCTAAAAAATACAACAATTAGTCGGGCATGGTGGGTTACACCTGTAATCCCAGCTACTTGGGTGGCTGAGGCAGAGAATCACTTGAACCTGAGAAGCAGAGGCTGCAGTGAGCCAAGGTCACGCCACTGCACTTCAGCCTGGGCAACAGAGCAAGACTCTGTCTCAAAAAAAAAAAAAAAAAAAAAAAAAAAGAGAATATTTCTAAAAGGAGTTTTTTTTTTTTTTTTTTTTTTTTCAGTCTTTGTGTGCTTTCAAGGCCATAGATGTCATACCTAGCTTCTTAAGCGTTTCTTTCTGCATTTGTTATTAGAGCTGCTGAAAATTAAAGACAAGACAGGATGCCACTTAGGATCCTAGGACTAGGAGTATAGCCAGACACTTAGCATTAAAGTGTATTCCGGGCAGGATAACCACATAGAGTGGCACATGTGTAAGGAATCACAGGCTTAGCCAATTGAATTTCTAAGGTTCTAAATGATGAAAGTCATTCACTCTGGCAGTCAGGAATGAGATGAGTCCCTGTGACTTGGGCTGTTGGCCACCCTGCAGGATAAATCAGCTTTGAGAAGGCCCAGAGCCACCACAACATTATAATTTTGATTCTCAAATATGCTGTAAATTAGGACTTCTTTTAGGGGCTATTGATAGTGGCTACCTAATTAGGGAGATATGGGTGATTGTATTACAGCAGAAACAGGTTTGGGAAGAATAATTTTTTTGTCTAAATTGCTGTCTCAAAAGTCAGCAGAAGCTTCAGGCAGAGCTGATCCCAGATCATTGTTACTGATAGGCTGCAAATGAGCTGTAGCATTAATTTTTGACACCACACTGTTGGCCTTACCTTTGGCCACTTTGACTCTGGCAATTTATACATCTAAATGGTGATGAAACTGGTCTGCCCAATTATGCTTAATGCAGATCAGTTACCCTGGGACCATGTAACCTTTAGTTAGCACTAGCTGGATGATCCAAACACATCTTTGAAAGGCCCCAGAGGTTCCCCAGTCTTCATATTTACAGTGGACGAAAAGTCCAGCTGATTCACCGGTTCATTTCTTTCCTACCACAATTTCTTAGAATCTAGCTCTGAGTACAAACTGGAACATAATGGGTGCTCAATAAATATTAATTGACTTACCAGCCTCTTTAATGAATAGTAGTCACCATCATTAAATAATTACTCACCCATCCTTTCATCCATTCAGTCATTTGTTCATTCAAAACATTTATTAAGCCCCAATTATGTGTCAGAACTATGTTAGGCCCTGGAAAGACCAAGATGACATAGTTGCTATGTTCTAGGAGCTTATAGTGTACTGAGGAGTCCTATAAAAGTACAGTCAGTATTCCTGCTAGTCACATAGAAGAGGTGTAAGAATTATGTAAGTCATTATCACACTCCAGTCTTCTAGACACATTGCTCCAGAGTAGTCTCTTTAAAAGAACTGATCTAATCATTTTACTCTGTGACTATCACAGAGTTGATCAGACAAGAATTCTGAACTAGTAGTATTACTACCAGGAAATGAGAAATGACACAACAAAGGGTGATATGGTAGAGAGCAAGCTCAGTTAATATGAGGAATTTGCTAGGTGATGTTACAAGGGAACATCAAAAGCATCAACTGAGATCAAGATCATGGAAAACAGCCAAGGAAACAAGAGCTAGGAATGTAGGGAGCAGTTACTAGAAGGATCCAACAGGATATTACTGTTGAGTTATTGGCTTATACAAGGTCATTCTCCTCACCATCCCAGTTATGGGTTTAATTTCTGAATATAAAGTTACACATTACTTTTAGGGCTGGGTGCAGTGGCTCATTCCTGTGATGCCGGCACTTTGGGAGGCTGAGGTGGGAGGATCACTTAAGCCAAGACCAGCCTGGGCAACATAGAAAGACCCTGTCTCTATAAAAAATAGTAATAATTTTAGAAAATTTGAATAGTGTCTAAAAATAAAAAGAAAATTAATTATCACATTATGCCACCTAGATGCAACCTCAGACAATATTTGGTATATTCAGTATTTTTCTAAATGTATCTTATTATAATTTGTTAAATGAAACAATACTACACACAAACTTTTGTAACTGGCCTTAAAAAGTAAGCTTTATAACAAATAAACATTGTTAAAATGTTTCATCGATATTTTAATGGCTACATAAATATGCCATTGGACAAATGTTTGATAAAGCAACTGTTCTCTTAGTCATAAGTTTTTACTATGAGTCATAATTTTTTATTGCTCTGAATAACTCTGTGGTCAACATCTTTATACATAAAGTTTTAAAAAATATTTTGGAATATTACCTTAGTTCAAATTCTTAGAGGAACTGCTCGCTCCACAGACATGAATAAACTTAGTGTCATAATCCATATTCCCAAATTGCTTTGTAAACAAGGCAGTTTGAAATTGAAACAAAATAATGTACCACATTGTGAC